CAACCCATTTTACATTACTATTTACGTAGCTTTACAGTAGGGTAGCCTTCTGCAGTGTTCAAAATAAGATGTTGTAGAAGCATATGGGTCGTTTTCACGTAAGCTGGCGATAAAAGTTAGTCGAAAATTGAAAGGTGAACTTCTGGACAAACAACTTTTGCACACAAAACCACTTACGAATTATTGTTACGTACGTATTTGAGGTGCACCACGGTGCCGCACGTTTCCACCATCGGTGATCGGCGGTAGTAGTCAACAAGTTCGGCCAACGAATCAAAATCGTCTCCTCCACCAACGTCAAACTTTCCGTTCTATAATATAAACAGTTAAGCGATCGTCCGCCAGGGTTGAAAGTGAAATTAGAAAGCGAAGACTCAACGCATGATCAATGCAAAATTACGAAAGAATCCAGCTTTTGAGCATAAACAGAAGAAAAATACGCAAATTAAACAAATAATAAAAACTGGAAAATAAAACAAACAAATACAACTTCACTATGACCAAAGACACAGTCGACGTACTGTAGAGCAATCAAAAAAAAGTATAAAAAGCAGGCTAGTCCTAAGTTCGAATCTTAATAAGGGTTATGGAATCCAAAGTTCGAACTGACCATACACTATGTTGAAACCATGTTTCTGAAATGCAGTTGCAGGAGCTCTGTTACTATATAGATTGTTTTAGCCTTAGCCTCAAATCTCAACACGTTACTTGGCAGTACAGCTGTTCATTCCAACTGATGACTCTGAAATGCAGGAAACAAATACCGAAAGACGTGATTACATTGTATATCATGCATCCGAACCGAACTGTCACTTCTCCTCTCATATACGGACCAGGGCATATCCCTTTGCATTCTACCATATTTTTATTCTACTGAACAAGTGGTGCGTTTGTGCGCCCATGCACTGCAGATGCCAAAATACCGTGGATCCATGGCATGTTTAAACGATTCTCTGAGACGCTACAAATAAGGGAACGGTGCCATTCCACCGTGTGGAAACTAAGGAGTAATAGAACTATTATTTCTTACAATAAAAAAGGAGCACCGTTACTGCGATTTCAAAAGCTTCCCACTTTTAGTCTTTACCACAGGTTTTATGTCGGCTTGAAACCATTTCTGCCATCGATTAAGTTATCACAAATACAGGATACTTGAGGGAACTGTAATTTACGACGTTTTATCAAACCTTCGCACTAAAATAAGCTAATTTTAAATCACATTTAAATAAATGGACTAAAAAACAGAACTTGGGTCATTAAAGAAGCATAAAATTAATATCTTTCAGAGGAAAGATTGGTCTGTTTTATACGGCCATGCTGTAGAATTGTTCGCTTTCCGGCTACCATTCGCCTTGGTTCAGCTGAGAGCTGACTAAAAATCAGTTCATAGTGTCAGAGTGAATTTCACAGTTTAACTATACGTGAATTATTAGCTTTGTAACTATAAAGTATAAGAGCTCGAGTACTATATCGCTAACATTAGTCTCACTTGGCAACGAATGATGATGTGAGTGACGCGGTCTTCGAGTCTGACTGACAATGCATAGTCACCCAGAGTGCTTTGACTCTCCCGAACAAGAAAACTGCCGTTTCGCCCTTGGTCCATCAACAACTTCTCCGCCTCTGCACCGGAAATGTTTCCATGGAACCACCTAAAAATTCAGTCCAGGATTTGTCATGGTTATGCAGACTTGCTAGAAAAACTGATAACTCTCCAGAACACAGAAAATTCTAAAGTAGGCAAAATGAATAAACCATAAAATTGATTTAATGTCTATAAAAAAGGTACCTTTTTAAGAAGTATAGAATAAACATCAAAAATCAAATTGTGAACGAAGGCTGCAAGCAATTGATGTTTAGGTGATGACCACGGGTGCATGCGCCATTGTCATTTAGGCACAGAGTCGACGGTTGTAAAGCTTACATTCGTGATACCTGCGGGGTAGTAAACGGAGTAAGAATTTTTGGTGCTGTAAAAATATACTAGTAAGACACTGCAGATCTGCTCAAAAAGGATACCTGTCCAAAGTAGATATTTGCATAAGAATGCATAAGGAGAGAATGAATTTTTTGGTCTCGTACAGGAGAACCTGACAAGTCAGTGATATCTAGGTTCCATTATAAGTTCAGTTCATCTGTTCTGCGACGTAATACAAAAACAGACGAAAGTTTCGGCCTTCAAGACTAAGCACCACTGACGAAAAAAGAAATTCATTTCAGTCTGGACGAAACCAAAGATGCAACGAGAAAAAATACGAAGGAAGAACTGACTAGAAAACAATACCTGTGACGTGAAACTGGAAATGACTTTGAGCCAATACCTTCGCCAGAGTGCCAAGATGAACAGACAAAGAGGAGACGAGTGAAATAAAGAGGATTTTCTCTCTCTCTCTCAAGTTTGCGTGACTGCTGCAGCCACTTAGAGCTCACAGCAACCTCTACCTCTCTTTGATGAGGTACAAAAAATATCTCGTAAGATTCAAATACGAATTATGAAGAAATAAATTGCTCATAAATATTGTTCATCTTAGTACGAAAAACTCTGGATGAAAATAAGAAAGGGTGTATCTGATATATTTCAGATAAACCGACTATCATCTATGAATCATGCATTTAAGTATCGGTAATGTCTGCGTTATTCATCGCCTGAACACATAAAGCTACCAGTCACACATGTTCAAAAAGCCCCGTTGTAGGGAAAGGTCAATCATGTGAATAGTGATGACAAGCAGACCAGGATGTCATTGCTCCAATTTTCTGGGGTCTTGTATGTCACAGATCCTCAGTCTGAACTTTCATATTCGCTAATCGTTTATCATAGAAGAATCAAAATTTGTTCGTCCACAGGTCTTGAAAAAGTACCGAGACATGTAACACTCCAACTCATAAACACTTTTATATTCGTGGGGCAGCATATAAGGAGTACCAGCTCCTGAAACTTCTTCCGTGATAAGCGCGAGAAGGCTCTAGCGAACAAAATAAACTGGGACTTATCTGGCATTGCAGCTGCTTAAATACCCTGGAGCCGTAGTCTGTTAAATAAACCTGCTAAGCAACTACGAGCAAGGAGGCGGTGCAATACACAGTGAAATCTAGTCCTGGAGAAGGCACGAGTTAATCTTAAACGCAGCGACAGTTTCCCAATTATCCAGAGTTGCCGTATGGTAGGTGATCTCTGCAGCTTCTTCTGGTGTAATGAGGAAAGATTTTCTAATTTTCCTTTGGGATTAAAGCCACGGTGACTACTGATCAAGTTGTGAATGCTTCTGATAGAAGCAGAAAGACCTCATGTATCCAACCAAACGGCTATGAGTATTTTTACAGGTCCCCGTCGATTTCTTGTTACTACTTGAATAATATGCCTTTTTCTTCTTGAGTTACCTGTCCTGTATCGCGTACTGACGATCAGCTCGATCTACGGTGTATGATATATGATTACGCTAGTTTTAACAGCCATTTGGAACTTTATAAAATCCTAGTACACCGAACTGAAAAAAATGTAATACTGTAGAACCTCTATTTAACGAATCGTGGGAAATGCGTGCGTCTTCTAGCGCCAAATTGGTCGACATCAAATAAAGTTATGCCAAACTAGATTAAAAAATTTAAATACGAGACATGAGATGCTATAATATATTTTACTTTTGTTTACTAAAGGAGAACGTTGAACCTGGATCAAAATACCGGTGTAAAGTTGTCGAATAAAGCTAAAAACTTGGAAAAAGAAAAAAACGTAGAGCGGGTGAAGACAAAAGACAACAAATAGCAATGACAACCGTGCTATCGTGTACCGTTCGTTCGTCGGATCGGTGGCATTCAGAGGGAACTTCAATGTGATGACGTCGCCGTTTTTTTCGCGCAGCTGATCGGGATTTTCCATGTAGTACTGAACGAGTTCGGCAAGTGAGGCAAACTTCTCGCCACTGAACAAATCGTAGAAATCGCCGGTGTTCTGAATCTTGATGTGCGTCACCTTGCCGTTTCTGCGAACTGACAACGTGAACGCCCCGGCTTTTGACCTGCTCGGTCGTGCGAGGAACGAACCGTCGAAACCGCGGGTCATCAGCAGCTGCTCGGCGTCGACTCCCGTGATGTTCGGATGAAACCACCTGCAGAGAACAAATCGAGCAATCGCAGAAACAGAAGAAAATCGGGGAACAGGCGAGGCGAGGGGAGGGTATAATGTGGGAGAAGTCTGAAATACCTGCGAGAATTTTTCAGCGCCGCCATGGTCTTCAACGATTCATCTTTGCGTACCTCAACACCCCGATATCCGAACGGATAACGATTAAAATCCGGTACCAGCGTACACAACTGTTACATAACGGATAGCGTAAACTAAAATATTCAAAACTACTAGACAATAAAATAAAACGTTTTACGCTGCAGGATCTACGGAACCGAATCAATACAATTTCTAAACAGTACAACGGTGTGGTGGTACAGAAAACCAAACATCAAACAACATTCCTTTATTTACCTTGGAAAGATTAATGACGACTAACCCGAACAGGATTTGAACCTTCAGTCATTCCACATCCAGCTGTGCAGGTGACGTCTGAGGGCTTTTGCCAGTGAACTATTGTAATAGTCTGTTTATGCTGAAGACCAAAATTTGCTCATTGTAAAACCCAATGGTTCTCATCTCGTAATGTAGAAGTCACGTGCAAACCCTACTAACACATTAATCATCAATTCAAGCCACATTAGAAGACGGAAATGCCTTGACATCACACGGAAGGATTTTCGTCAGAATGGGCAGTATAACTGCTTTATTTCACGTAGAAACTGGCGTGGACACAAAAAAGGCCTCTTAGTCAATGGGTACATGAAACCGCGACCTAAACCAGGTTAAAGCTGCTGACAAGCTATTGTCGAACCGTAGCCGAGAGACAAATCATTTAACTGTGCATTTCAGATGTAAACAGTTAAAGCTCTGACAGGTGAAAGTTAGTAATCAGTGTACAATCCAAACGATGAGACTGACCGATACCAACGTTTCGGCCTGCGTCTCACCGACCTCTATGTAACCCATTCGACCTAGCAGATATGCAAGCGGAATAGGATGGTGATGCACTTCGGGAATTTGACCAATTTAAGTACCTCGATTTTATTATCTCCATGGGGACCATTCAGATACAGGTATATAGGAGGATCGCCCTAGTCTCCAGTGTCCTTAAAACTGTCTTCAATGCCTATGGTGAGAAAGGAGTATTTTTTTCACAAAAAAACAGCTAGCATATTTCCTCTCCGATGTTAATGTTATTATACGGCATGTAGACCGTTGTTCTAGAGAAGGACGGCTGAATTGCGTGCAGTAGCGTTGGCTTCGATGCATAATGAGAGCTAAATAACAGGACCATGACTGTTTTTTCTAACAGGTACAGATGAACTAGAGTAAACTTGGAGATTAGGAAAATGAGGCTGGCCCTGATAGACAAATTGGCTGAGTATACACATGTACTCATATCCGTGAACTTCATGCGTGGGAATCGAAAAACAGCAGGCGTCGACTAAGAGGGCAGAATGCAACGTGGAGGAACAAAATAGACGGAGATCTGCTTTCTGATAAGAATAATTCATTTTGTGGTGCAGTAACCGGTACTTCATTGCAGAAATGCTGTAAAACTACGAATACAGGGGGATCACGAACCAACGACATTTGGCCGATGCAAAGGGCGAAACAGTTGTAAAGTCACACCGGCTGGTCTTTTTCAAGCAAAAGATGTACGTAACGTTCTGAGGAAGATCTGAGAGTCTGCAGTTTATTTTAAGGTCGAAACCGAAAGACAAACTTTCAGCCTGTACTCTGGTTAAATACTTATTCGACAACAAGTACAGCAAGAGTAGTCCAATCTGTAAAATTATCATATTAACTGGCAAATGAAATTCTCTTGAGCAAGTAATTCACACTACTGTACTTCGGTGCAGCCAGCGAAAAGCCGGTAACAAGCAAATAAATAAACCGCAGATAACACGAACAGCTTCTCTGATCATACCATGGATAGGACGGCATACGTAAACTTTGTGATACAAACGTCAGAACGGCTGCACTTCGACCTAATCTATCTGACAGATAAATAAATCAGCAGATGCTCCTCGCTCAAACTTCAGCTTTCACCAACAAGGAAGCGATTAATGACTTAAAAGAACAACTGGTTACAGCAAACGCCACATAGGCATTCCGCACTGATGTACTATCTAGGCGTCCTTAGTTTACTGAACCTGGTTTAAGCGATAGTGCGGTCAACGCATGACAACAGACTTAAACCTATAAATCGAAAAGCAAATTTGAATAATTCCTGGACCACAGCATAAAAACTGATATTTGTCTTTGCAAGTTAAGCAAGGCAAAATGCCTCGAACGGAAAGGCAAATCTGAATAACCACTAACAAGTTATCTGAATGTAGAATATATTTTATATACCGTACTTCAACGCAACATTTTGTCTAAGCTTGACTTTCTCTAAACATTGTTACTGAACCTCGTTAATAAATTTCTAACACGAGGAAGTAACAAATTTGCACAATGAAATAATTCAAATCTAGCTAAATTGATTTTACCGCTGGGTAGATAAAATTAATTTAACTGAACCTTAAAACCACTTGACACAAGTGCAATGAAGAACTATGCGCCAGTATATAAAAGTTTTACATGGAAAGAACTCACGTTAAAACAACGGCAGCTAATCCTCTACACTGTTGATTCATTTTCAGTTAAAATGTATTTCGCACTCAAGCAGTTTCAGAGGCGCGAATTCTAACTATATCTGCCTCTAGGCGAAAATTGAAAAAAAAAGCCAAATGTGTGACCTGTAGAACTCTGCAGAATTAGGATGGTGAGAAAATGAAAGGAAAATTCTTTCAATACTATCTTCTAAGCGTCGAAGTTTATGTGTTAAACCACCTCATCACCTGATATCTCTAATACCAAAGTACAAGGAACCACAGTTAATTGGGTACTTGTTGCGTATGGCAGCCATTCATCCATATTGTGGCTTCGCCCTTTTTGAATTCCTAACTATAAGCGATCAAATTGTGTGACCAGCTTGAAATGACATGCATCCAACATTGTAGGAGTTCAAATAGTAGTCATTATCTACAGGTAACTAGAAGGAAGAGATCGATGCAAGTTTACCTAGAGCGTTACAGAGGAGCGTCATATATTTCTTGTCTTAATTTTGTGTACATTGTTTGCGATGGCTACAATTTCACTTAAATTCACTTTTTCTTGCAGTGTCGTTACTTTCATTTCATTCACTCTTAGTCACAAATCTTTATTTGTCTTCAGTCTTCAAGTGAACCTCTTGCAGCCCGTATAACTCGTTTCCACTGTAGCATTAAATTTTACTTGATATAAATAGTCAAGTGACTATAGAAATGTTTTTCTATACTGGTTTTGCATGTTAGCCTCCGTAATCAACGTCGGAAAGTTTTTCACAGATCGACTTGACCTTAAATTGGATTGAAGCGCCAGTTCTCTTCGAATCTGCGTCGATTTCCTTACTTTCCTAGCAAATAACTTATTGTCAATCATTTGAAGATGCGATGCCGCAAATTTTCATGGTGAACAGTTTTATGGGCCATCGAAATTCCAGAAGCCACCAGCGACACAGTATATTCGTAAGCAGGAACAGCAAGTTTAGCGGATGATCGAACGTAGCGTTGTCAGACAGCTAAATCTCTCATCTATGGAACTGGTGGCACTAACGAAAACCATCATCAGAGGAAAACACTTAGCTGGCTTTTAATTGAGGCAAGTTGAATATGTTGTTATGTTGATTCCGAAAATTTGGTCAATTGCGGTACTAAAACATCTACCATCTACTATAATCTATCATTATCAACAAACTTCATCACTGTGACAAATAAACTTTGACTTGCATGCTGAAGATATGAAAAGAGAATAAACGTGGGAGCCAGTGCATCATCCAGAAGAAATTTCTAGAAAGAAACAGTCTTCAAACAGATTTTACAAAATTACTGAATTAAATGCAAATCAATTACTTAAGTAATTTGGAATGGATTAGCATATGTGCGATCAGCTGAGAGCTATATCCTGAATACCGTTAATTTCATGGTGGAAAACAATGTGCAGAGAAGTCCAACTTAAAGTACTTATCCATTTGCAAGTTATAGTTAGTAGCTGACAGAAAACATTGTGATCAGTTATACAATAGCAAACTAACATCCAAAGATTGAAGAATATTCAAGGGTAAGACTTCAGCTAATCAAATTTATGATATGACCTGACATCGCTTAGCAGTGGTACCTAAATTTAGCTGATTACACTGAATGTTTCGATTTAATCATTTTGCTTTCTCTGCCATAGTGACGCTTATGCATCTTACTCGATTTGCATTTTCCCGGATTCCAATGGAATACGGTCGCATTACCGTGCCATCGTATATAACCTAACGAAATGTAAACGATGTACTTCCATGTCGATTGCTACATGGCTTTTCGACTCAACTTTGAAAAACTGGACACTGCTTTGCTTCCATCAATTGAAGATCCGGACTCTTCTAAAATTTTGGCTTCTGCTGGGCAAATACTCTACAGAATAACTTTCACTCGATTTCACAGTTGAGGTTTGCATTAGATCACCTGATAAACAAAATGCGTGTTAGATGGTTGTTACAATAGTTTGGAAAGGCAATTGCCAACTGGATCACTAAGAAGTCGGCTTCTTATTGTCATTCAACGCTTATTTTTTTATTTTATACTTTCTTCATAATAAGAGCTCTTCTAAGCAAATGGACACAGGTACAGTGAGTCGAAAGATTTCATTCAGAAACGAACGGTTTTGACCATTATTTGGGTTGAAAGTGACCAGTGAATAGCACAGGTATAAAATATATAATCATGCTTCGTTAAAAGAAAGAATACTTCCTACTGCCGACTAACCGTACCCATTTGCTAATTTAATACGTTGTCTACAGAGTGAATTTTATTCATTATTGCTGATGGAGATCTTGCTTCCAGCGTCTTATGAATTTTTTACTTCAGCGTTATTGACTCTTCTCAATTTTCCGAACCTAATTTTATAGTCAATTATCATGAAAGATTGTTCGTAACAATGGCGCCTCAAAGATGAAATGCAATTTTACGACGGGCACGCGCAGGTATAAATAGAGATTATGTGGAAAATTTATCATTTGCCTGGAAGGAAACACAAAGGACCTGATAAGACAAGGCAGTCAGAGGCTGAATTATATCGAATTCTCTCGTTTCAAATTATTAGGTTGGTCTACTTAAGCTGCAAGATCGCCTTACGAAGCAACGTTGTTTTTGTACAGTGTATATGCAAAATGCTCTCTGAAGATAAATATGCTGAGTAAACCAATGCGAAATACCTTCGCGATGAAGAACCTTGCACCGCGTAAAGAATATGATCAATAGTTTTAAAACACATTAAACCAATATACTGAAAACAAGAAAACTGCTGCTCGTTAGAAGGTTCATGTGAAACGAAACGATCGTTCATTAACCAATGTCGAGAGCCGAACAAGGAACTTCCGGCGAAGTTAGTTACTCTCTTGAAACGACCAAACAGGTGGTTTCTGAGAAATTTTTTCGCTGCCTTCAAAATTTTATAATCTTCCTACAAAAAACATCACATACGATTAACGACGAAATAACTTTCGTAATAAATACTCACTTTTTAGACGATAAATTGAAGATCCTCGATGATCATGCAACAGACACATCTTGTTGACGACCTACAAAATAAGCAATACAAAAATCCAGAAGTAATTCAGTGAACACAATAAAACGCGCTTTATTAGGCAATGTTCTGGACAACAGGCCGTTCTGTTCAAAGAGAAATCGCATCAATTTCCAACAACAACCGCCGCTGGATGATGCAGTGTACCTTTTTCATAAATTTATCTTACTTTACTGAACTGTTCATTATTAGTGCGCTCTGATGCAACTGCAAAAAAATGAAACAAATTTTTAATTATTACCTTATTAAGATCGCAGCACATTTTTGTAATAACTCCCAAATAGGTAACCAATGCGATGTCGTTCCGTTGCTAAAAGAATAACAACAAAAATATGCATTCAGATATGTGTAAATATATGTATTTATGCATATTTTGCCAGCGGATAGTGGCAACATTTTGATACTCGAACAAGACATTATTTAGCCCAATTCAGTAAAGCATTCTTGCACTCAATTCATTGCATCGTTAACATGCTATGGAACCGTGGCTTGCTCAACCGGTCCCCTAGGCGGCCAAAAGAAAAAGGCCATGAATTACTGAGGTCAAGCTGGTGTAATGACTACAATCCATTTTACACTACCGCAGTAACGCTCTAATATAAATACTTCACTCTACAGTTTTCGCCGTGTAAATCATGTACCAGTAACTTAAGGAAAAATATATACATTGTTGGGATAATAATTTTGCCATTTTATTTTATGCTGTTGAAAATCACCATGTTTTAACTGACATATAATCCAAAAACCTGGTTAATTGGAAACTTAAAAAAACAAATCGTTTGTTAAACTAAATCAATATAAGGAAAAAACGAACCAACTCTAGTCAATTTATCATTACACAGGGATACAAAACTTCATTTTTTAAAAACATTAAATGATAAAAAATATTGAAATTATTTTTTTGCCAGTTATGTACTTAAAACATTGCATAACGTAGTCACTGAAATTACATCATCACCCCATGAGTCAAATTGATAACTCCTTTAAAACAGCTATTAACATAACATTATTTTAATTTCTGGGATTCCCTATGAATCATTCATTTTAAGTCAAACGCCAGGACGAGATAAATTTTCTATAAACAGTAAACTAGTTTTACGAGACATGGAAGGCTACCGTGGATCTGCGCGAAGCAACTCAGAATATTTAACGCACTGTATAACTGATTTTTTTGTCGCAAAAACAAAGAGAGAACAAGTGAAAACGATTCATCCGATTACTGTACTTACGACATTCAGCTGATGGTGTAAGTTAGGACCGCCGAAGATAGGCAATGAATGGTAGAGGCCAGCGATTTCGCGCAGTATGTCGTAGTTTCGTTGTAAGGTACCGGCTTCAACGGCCTTCATATAGGCCACCAACAGGCGAAGTCGGGAACATAACATCCTTACGGCCCCGTAAGGGGCATTTAGATGCTCAGTTACTAAAAAGAAATGCAGATCAATAAAAAATTCATAATGACACATGCATTTCGGCAAAATGCACAAAAAATTAGCATGGGTTTGAAGATATGGACAGATGAAATAATGCCTTCAACGATTAGATTCATTTTAATCAATGTAAATACTAATGGTATGCAATTCTTTTCCAAAAAGAAAATCTTGCTCATACCGATTGTCAACTTACATCTGAACCGCCATCAAAACTAATAAGTGGCTCAGCAACGAGACAATTAAATGATAAAAAACCAGTCATCCTCTCCCAAGGTAAGAGCAAGATGGTATGAATTGAATGATCCTCGCTCACGACTGAAGGCTTAGCTTCAAAGTCCAATAATAACTGCAGTCGAAAACTATGAACAGCATTGACAGTTAACTTCATTTTACGTCAAAGATCGTTTGTGAGATACAGAAAGAATCATCGATAAACAAATTAAGTTTTGGTGCGTTAATTGGCATGAACAAAAAATGATGTTATTGCAGCAAGTTGTTTTCTCAGTGCCCTGAATATTTTGATAGAAGGCGCAAAGGACTAAAATAAATAAAACAATCAGTTGTTATCCTCCAATTAGAAGGGACTACAGGATGCATTATTTCGCACTACGTCTTCCGGTCTTACGTAAATCTCGTGACGAAAAGATATGACAATTTGTCCAGTGTATAACTTTATCCGCGCAACGATGTCTTGAACTTCGTTTCGCTCTTTATTCAGCAGTCAAGTCCAATAGCACTATTTCTGTCCCCTGAACAATCGCAGTCCATTCGCAGGACATGAGTAAAACATTGCCAACCTAGCATATGTCTTTTGGAGCCGGCATGAATTAAATATAAAATTTCAAGAAGTCTAAATCACTGGCACACAGGTTCAGTCAAGACAGTGTAAGAATCGTTTGCCGTAAAGATCGCAAACGCCACAATGAATTTACGCAGTGTCTTCTTGATGGTCCCAACTTTGCACCCACAGCTTGCAACGAATTAGACTGGCGCGTTGACAAGTTTCTGCGACGTATCATGGCGTTTCAGAGGGGTATATACTACTAGACCGTGGTGGTTATATAACTTCTTGCGATTCGTAAATGTTCCTGAACCTCTATTTTAAAGTAATCGATTTCGTCACAAATAAAACCACGACAGCTGAGAAAGGGAACTTGTTGCAGTTCAATATCATATACAGTAATTCGACTGAGGGCAAGGCTGCTGACTGAATACGTCACCACTTTAGTCTTGTCTTGGCGAATAGGAAACCACAGATGCCAACTTTTTCATAGATGCCAACTTTTTCATACAATTGCGCTTGAGATGTCGAGAACAGCAATAAACTGTTTACGCGTTGCAGATCTGTGATACGTTTGAGTGAAGCCCTCGGTCAAGATTCCCAATATTGCTCACATAACAGTCTCGCCAAATACGTTAAGAAAGATCAAGCGACAACAAACACTTCTGAGATAACCATTTGTTAACAGGGAAACGTTTCTGGTCCACATTATAGAAAACGAACTATTGTACAGTTGTGGCAACCGGCAGATAAAGTGACACGGTAACCTCATGTTCAACAACGACCCAAAAACCGACGTGAAAGCGTATGCAGGCGATTTCTCTGAACGCAGATCAATAATTTTAACACAGCAGTTATGACAGTGGACGAATATGCTGATATGTTAATATATTTTCTGCGCAGTTGCTGCCCTTTCTCACGTCAGAGAAAATTTGAAAAATGCAGCACTGCGGATAGATGTTAATTTTAACTTCGTTAAGTTTAGCTGATTCTCACTCGCTTGGAGGAACGCAAAGCGGACCCTGTTGGCAAAATCATGTCGAAGGAGCTGACGGAAATAGGCTGAGCACATGACACTGACAAAACATGAAATGAGGATAAAGCAGCTGACCGCCACTGGCAGGCGATGAGGACCATTGGGGGAAAAACCGCCTCATGCTGATGCCCTCGAAACTTAATAGCAAAAGCGAACGAATGAAAATTTGAGTATCTCTAAATATCAACGAACAACTGTGCAAAAGCGAGGAAGCGCATCATAGATACACTTATGAATCTTCTGTCTAACAATATCTTCTTGTCAGAGCACATGCTTTACTATGAGAAATATATTTCGACATCGTACCACAGTACCATTACCAACAATGAGGCGTACCCAGGGAAACCTGCGGGGTGTCTGAAATCGATAGCCTTGCCAGGTGATCAATACCGATTCGTTCAGCCTCCTCCGTAATCAGCGAATAGTTCAATTCCACGAACTGCATGCATGTCTATAAAACAGTTCGATTCAAATGATTCGCTGAAAATTCCATTCAGATGAGCAAGACGTCAGGACACCATGAGCTCGTGCAATACTCTGATTCAGGTCGCTTACCTCTCCATCGACGACATCCAGGATCGATTCGTATATTTTGATCGGCAACTAAAAAAATGTAGGTCAGGCGCATAAATTATGATATTAAGCTATTTACAAATACTCCAATTGCACAAATACAACAAAGAAACATCACAACATAATCTTTTTCATTGCAATTAAGCAATTAGCCCCTGAACAGTCACTAATTACGTTGGCAATACCAAGAAAAAGGAAGAAAATCGAACCCAGGGGTAAGAGCAGAAACAGGAATCTGCCATGTAATGCATGAGTGATTGGGTTGAAATATCGATGGGAAAAATACGTTGCAAGAAGAACCGACGATCGTTTGAGCACAGAGATAGCAGAATGAGTTCCATAAGCAGGCAACGGGCTAGTAGGAAAATCTTTGGATGAATGGCATGATGAGATGAAAAAGTTCATTAGATCAAGATGGATAGGAACTGCAGAAAACATATTTATGGCACAGTCTTGACGAAGCATTCATCCCACAACTGATCGAAAAATACTGTTGATAATGTGAGAAAAATGTAGAAGTGATTTAAATCATAAGATCTTTGACATCGATAGCCTACAGAACAATACGATACCGCAAAAACTGTTATACTTCTCCGGTTCGCACAACCAGCATAAATGCTGCGCTGCTTATTAATTTTTTAAGCACATTAGGTGAAAAGAATTTGTGAGTACGCTCGAATAAAAGAAAAAGGTCATCCGCTTCATCCACGACGTTGTCCAACCGGTCAGATAAAAAAATGCATGCACTAGTCCCAGAAGTTAGGTATCACTCCGGTCTACCTTTAACAGATGCCTCGCCCACGATGTAGCTCAATCTTCCGTATAGGCACACTTCCAGTTGGAATAAAGGTTCCCGTAGAGAACACGTCGATGATAAATAACGACAAATCAGTTGGATCACCAGCCTCTCAACTTTCTTAATGTGAAAAAAAAGTTACTTTATCTTCATCATCATCATCATCAACGGGTTTGTAGAACTGCATGTGGTAAAAAAATTTGTAAAATCCGCTACTCTTAGCTTTCAATGCATTTTAATATTAAGACTGTTTTCGCATCGATCCAAGAAAGACTTCTCATCAACAACATCTCTGTTTCGTCTCCTCTGCTGCAGAACGTGCACCCCGGCTCTTCGTTGCCTGCGCTTCGTTTCCCCTCGGAAGCTAACAAACACGTGAAGCTTGGTTATTTCCCGGAAGATGATCTAACCATGCTAATCTTCGTTCTTGGTTCACTTTAGATATGTCTGTAGGAACAGCTCAGAGAAGAACACCGCCGTTCGTTGCTGATGCCGTCGTATAACAAGGGATATTCGGAATGCGTAGTAATCAGCATCGTTAATGGGTATTCAATCGACTTTGGCGTATTCTTACAAGAACAGCCGTTTCTAATCCCTACAGCAAAACCTTGTTATTGGCTGTATCTGACTTTCAAGCGGATTTTCGATTAGATATGACTCTTCACGTAATTCTGGTGCTCTCAAAGGAACAACACGAATATTACTTGCCATTTTGATCAATGACTTTTCTTAAGTGAAGTGTTTGAACGTTCCTTAGGCGAAATTCATTGGCTTTACTGGCTGTCTAAATAAGTGTTTCCATCCTGAAACGATCCACGCTGTTGACATTAAGATAGAGTGAAACTGGCTACGACGAAGTAGGATAACATAGCCCCATTTTTAATGACTATCGAAGCAGATTATTTTCAAAGTTTAAGTTTAGGTTACTGTTAAAAACTTAAAGAGGATAATTCACAGATAATTGTTCCCGAGCCGAAGCGTACCAAAAACATACAAAAAGCAAAAGTGAGATGATTAATCAGGCTGACTCTTAGCTGTACTTCCATTCTGCATATGGTGTTGGCACCTGACACGGCTTATTCGTTACAAGCAAATGGTTGTCAGGTATTTGGCAGAGGTCCAGAACTAAATTCTAGCTGTGAACGTGGGGACGTAGAGTACGCCGTGAAATCTGGTTTCTAGAGCAGCCATGCATTATCTGAGGTACTCCGGCGCATGAACACACTCTGATGATGATGAAGCAACGTTTGAGGAGTACCAGCTCCTAAAATATCGTTCCTGGAAAAGGGGAGGTTGCACCAGTGAACAAAATGATGCGAGATGTATGGAGCTATGACTCGCTTAAATAATTCCTTAGGCAACAAAGAGCAAATATTGGTGCAATACTCCGAGGTCTTGGCGGAGTTAAGCATTATTAATAAAGTACACGTTTGCCAACAATTCATGTTTCGCCATGGCACAAACATAAGCATGATCATCTCAGTTCATAACATTTACTACTGAATGAACTAAGAACGTCATGGCAATAGGATGGTCTTCTAGCTGCCTGCTGCAGTCATAATTATTGAAACAATAAGATAGAGACGCGGTGTTCAGTGGAAGTTCCATAAACGGCAGCCCCTTTGCCCTATGAATATAAATTTCTGATAAATATAAAAAGCTTAATTTGCAAATAGCAATAAACAAATGGACAAAACAAGACAAAATAAATAAATTATGCATTTACTTAGAGCTAATCACCACGAATGACAGCTTACCAATTTCGCTGGTAAATATTACATTTAAATTACTGATAGCGATTCAAACTTATAAATTTCTTAAAACTGACCAAGTAAAAAATTACTAATAGTAATAACAACGAACAAGCAACCCTCTAATACGTCAGCAAAAAAGCCTATAGCGACGTTTACTTGTTGCGAAGGCTTGCAATTCGGATTCAGCCTCAGCAAAACCGGGCTTTCGTTCATCGGAAAGAACTAAAAATTAAAGTGTTGATAAACTGACAGTTGACAAATGGGGACACTGAGTCCGGTAACCTGTCGATGTATGTATACGTCTGACGGCAACGGTCGTTCCCCTGTCAAATACCAACCGAGAAAATCGTCATCAGTAAAAACTTCTTTATCTGAAACGTACAAGTTACCGACACAAGAAGGCAAGCGAAAAATGACGACATACACTGTGACACCCTAGTATTGAAGTAGTCCCTGTCAATAATCACGTGATCGTCGATGATGTGGTACGGAAGTTCAAACGAATTTGTCAATTCAAGTATGCGACCGTGCTGTCGACCAATCAGCGCACCCACAACTACAAAATAAAACAACAGATTAAGCATGATAAAAACAACGACTACGAATTCGGTCCGATGGCGAACATATGTTACCGTAGTTAGGCAAACAAACAATGATTATATCCCATTCTTTCGAGAAGGTCAACAAGAGATGCATTCAAAAAATACGATGCCATATTCCTTCATTATTCGCAAGTGGCAGCTAACTAAGTTACGTAACCACCTCAATCGTTCGTCGTATATTTAAGACCCCAACCAGGGACGATGCAAGGATACAAAACGACCTAAAAACGTCCAAGATTGAACGTGTCATGTCGACCGAGAATCACGCCCACAAATTGGAATATCCGCTAACGATTGGAAAGGAACAAGAATACTACATACATTAGAAACCGACCAGACACTGACGCTCATACAACAATGGATGGTCGTGGAAATGACTGAACAAATATTGTACACAACAGGTCATCACGAATTCATCTTGATTGGATGCAAAATATAAAAGCTGAGTCTTAATGTCAGCTAGAAGAGAGTCAAAAAGCAACACTGAGAACTCCATGGCTCGATTCACAAAGACAGTGTTCACTTTATGACCAAACAAATGGTACGTCTAAAAACTAGAAAGTCCTTCGTCATCTACCAAACTAATTTGAACATTATCTGTGTTTTAAACTGTTCAAATACATGCCTGGAATAGTCTGAAGTAAAATGCACAGCATATGTGACGTTGCTGCGTAACTAAATGAAGACTGGATTCCGAAACGCCACTGGTGACGAGAAGGCTATGACACGATTTCGAAAGCGCGTAGCGACAAATACACCGCATGAGTGTTTTCAATTCTTAAAATAAATGGCAACACATTTAACATGAATAACCTATTTTACTGTACAAAAATATAACTGCTAATTATTTATAGCACTGGATGCTCAAATAATCAGTTTATATAACGCAATTAAGATGGCTCTTTACTGGGAATGATGAAATGCAGTTGACGTGATGAGAGACGAGTCTGTAGAAGGCGGCTATCAAATATCATGGAGAAAACACTTGCTTCAGTAATCTCCTTTGCGATTAGGAAAAGGAAGGTGTAGTAATTCAGTCTGGTCTAGTTATGCTCAGAAACTACCTCCTAAGATTCTACTTTAATCACCCTAACTTGGAAGGAAGGTGATAACCAGTTCTCAAAACGATGCACAGCTGAACCTTTAGGCGTTTGCATTCTCAACCATGCTGTGAAAGCTAGAGAAAAATACCTAGCCAGATGGAAGAGGTAACACTCTCTAATCCGCCTGGCCAGTGTGACGAGTTACAGCCACAACCTCAAAAATGAAATCATGAAAAGTTAAAAAGGTATAAAAACGGTTTATTTATACATAATGCTAGCAAACAAATTAGCCAACTGAGTGACTGACCAGTACTGAGTCATTTACGCAGCTTCTTATCAACCTCTTACTGGATAAATCGCATTAAAACCGTAATCCGTTAACTACACAGTCAGAATCAAGGGCCAAAAACACTTTTCGGCTTCAGACGGCACAACACAAACAACCGCAGAAACCAACCTGGCCCACCGTAAGGACAGCTCAGACCTTCTCTCCTAGAGACGAAGTGAAACGTCCGTACTGGTCAATCGTTGGATTAATCAATTAATTTATTTGCGTATGTACAAATAAATCGTTTTTATACATCTTTCAGTTTTCAGTACGGACATCAACTCACGAACAAATAACTCAATGTTTAAAATGAAATCATAAATGAAACCACTGCCCTCATTTCTCGAACGCAGGACTGTCACCACTAAAACAGTATCTGATCAGCGACAATCCAGAGAGTGATAAAAAATACCCAGGGTACGGATCGGAACTGCTACAGTTTGCTAACACTGACAACGTACAACTGCAGATCACTTCGAGGCAAAGCAAGGTTACACGAGTTAGAAGAACTTGGCAAAATCAAGTGGGACAATATATGACTCAGAGAAGTTAAACGAAAGGAGGCGCTGTTAGAGCTTAAAATTGCACATCGCTTGTTCTACAGAGGATAAGCAATTGAAAAATGCATGGGGAATACGGTTCATTACCCACAGAAGAACAAAGAACAATGTAATATAGGTGGATAGCACCGCAGAGAGGCGTGCAAGACTGCTTCTGAGACATGAATTCCAAGTGATCGAAGAATATGCGCCTATATCAAGCCATCCTTAAGAAGAAATTGAAGATTTAACGAATAACTAAAAGTGAATGAACATGAAAAGAACTATTAAAAGATCATCATCGGTGATTTCAGTGTCAGAGTTGGACCAAAGGAAGAAAACGAATCACTTGGCAGGGCCGAATAAGAATCTGTTCAGACACCTCCTGCAAATATGCCACAATCCGTTGGCATATATAAAGAAAAATAAAGCCCGATCTTATGGTTTACTAGCATAATGCTAGTTTTTGATACCGCCGGTATCGAAAACTAAAAAGGATATCTTAACAGCAGTATCAAAAACTAGCATTATGCTAATACGCCATAAGATCGGGCTTTATTTTTTTGTATATATGCCAACGGATCGTGGCATATTTGCAGGTGTCTAAACAGGTTCTTGTTCGCCCTTGCAGGGTGATGCGGTTTTGCATCCATGCACTTCAGGTGCTCAAATACCATGGAATCGTGGCCTGCTTAAATGGTCCCCTAGGCTACTAGAATAAGGGAATGATACCTACCGACGCTTCGATTCGATATCGAAAACTAAAAGTTCCACAACTAACTCAGTTCCAAGAATGTGTGCAACTTAACGCACCAGACGAAAAGACCAGATTACAATGGCATAATATGAATAAGTTTCAGATTACTTAAGGTTTAATGCAGTGTTAATTTCGATGACAAATATACCATGTTTAAGTGCCTAACAACTTTCGCTCTGATGGCAGTTTTTAGAGAGAAAATAGGTGACAATTTTCCGTATCATAATACTACATAATTTGTTTTTAGTGTAGGTATGAAAACAATTGTGCTCGAAGACAAAATGCCATCATTTACTCAGCGTAGCCTTGGTAGCTCAAAAAAGCTGAGGGAATTTCACTTATCTGACCGACATCCACGTCGCAAAATTTCACGATACAAGTCAGGCAAATTCATGTAATACGTATCTACTATTATCCTTAAAGACTAATTATCGGTTATAGGTGGCGTGTTGGCACAGTATCCAAGAGGTGTGTTCGAACCTCGGAGGTGCCAGATTCGATTCCACTGGAGGAAAATCTTTATCTTATTCATAAATTCCCTTGAGCAACAATTTACCAAACACTGCTCAGTCGGTAGAACCAATAGGTCCCGAGTTCAAGCCACTGTCAGGGTCACTCGCCTTTCTTCCTTCCGAGGTTGATAAATAAGTTATCTATCTGGTAGAAAGAAACATAACTATATATTATGCTTGCCACACGGCTGTGAAAAATCATAAAATTTAAGGCACTCCTGGTTGATGGCACTGAAATGGAGATCAGCATCGAAACAACAACTTCATGAAAAGAAGAGCGGCAAAATGACCTAATCATGAAAGTGAATAAACACCGATATTCCAACGGCGACAAATTTTTGCTTCTTTTCTTTTTATCTGATATGGAGATAAAATCAATAAAACTAATATTCGATTAACTGGCTATATGAAATCACTGTTCTCGCACTTTTGCTAATTTCATGAGAATGAAGATGATATGGACTCACTGCTGGATGTCAGATACAACAACGTGGCAAACAGATATTTCAGTTGAATCTATTGTCTGACGACGAAGTGAATAATGCCATATTGATAACTGTAGATTAGCTAAAAGCATAAAGCACATCGGGAAGGGGGAATGCGAGAATAAGCTAGGTTCTGATGTCATTAAATACAACCATAACATCTAGTTTATGTTTGCTTAAGCTCATTACAGTTTCATTATAATTATTTTTCTTGGGAGTATTCTGTGCTTATTCTTGGGATTCATCCGTGATTCGGTTCAAATAGCTAAATGGACAGTCATTCATTAGTGGGACCAGTTGGTCTGTGGCTGATTTATTTAGAGAGATCATGACTCGCGTTACTCTGACACAGCTTCATTACTAAAATTTTCAAGGACAATATTGATATTTTGATAACCTCTCTGCTAGATCACTGATCACATAACATCCAGTTAGTAGTGGACATCTAACTACACAGATCCTCCTGTGCATATAACGTGATTTCATACGGTGGTCGGCATAATCAATTGTTGCTTGGAACGCGCTTGGAATTCTGTTAGGAAACATAGCCGATCGGCTGAGGATCGAAACCACTGTAAAACAAAATGTTCCAACCCCCACCCCCCCGGTTCTGACTAAAGGAACACCGGGTCGTGCGAATGGAAATAAGGAAATTTTAGCTCTGTCCAATATGTTATACGAAAATCAAGCGCCCCTTCTTATTAGTTAAAAAACATAACAAACCTGGATCACTTGGAATCACATTTTGTGCCTTTACGCGTGTGTGATGCTCAGATATGTTCACCAAAACCAAAGGATGAAGTAAGATATCGACGGACGGCTGCACGTTAGAATTCGCCAGTCTGAACCGTTCCTCTTCGGGGTCGGTCTCCATCAAGTGCCCAGCGATTCTGAAGAAAAAATGGAGAAAGTCAACATTTGAATAAATCAAAATAATACGTTTCAGATTTAATTTAAAGGTTTAAATAAAACAGTTTTAGGCAAACTGGAGATATGAGAAACAGCTGAAACGCGTAAAAATACTAATCTTCAGATGGATGCACGGATCAGACGTCGAATATCTTCAAAAGGACACACTGGGTATTGATTCGCAAACAGAAAAGCCAGCAAAAAGTAGACATCGGTGAGCCAAGTGAAATGAAGACCTAATAAATACGTAACTAAAATCCAGATATCCAGTTCCACCAGGGAAGAGATGAAAGCAAATACCAAAGAGAAGTCATGACTCAAAGTTAGCCTGCTGTAGGTGCCTCCTTCACATTCAAATGGTGTTGCATTTTTTTAAATAAACGTCTCTAGGTGCATATTCTTGATTTATTTTTCATGCGATTGCACAATACAGACGAACTCATGGCAACTGGCAAGCCTTAGGATCGAAGGGTTCGCCATTTATGGAAAACGGTAGATTACTGAGTTTACTTTAAAACTTTAATGAGAAAATGCCAGATGATGCATATGTATCGTCCAATAAAAAACTAAGATGTCTAGGATGTAAAAAATGCAAAAAATGATAATTAATGTATATTTACATGCTACATGAAACAGAACAAATCTTCTTACATACTACGAAAGTGCACATTAAAAACATAGCGTATTTATTTATTTTGCATAAAGCATAACTTTTTTGTTTTATCGATGAAACTTGATTTTCACCCCATAATTTTTCAGCTTTTGAATCCAAACGACGTAGGCAGCAGTTGAAAACGGTTGTTGGCCAATTCCAGTGCATGTGTGTCATTTTTGTACTACTATGCTGCCTCCGTCCTCTTCAATCGAATAATTTTCGTCATCGATCCGATTTGAATTCAACGATTTCTGCGTCATCCGTAACTTTATTATCGAACAAAAAAATCATCCATTCTCTGGTCCAAACCTTCATTCACTAACAGCAGCTTAACATCTCGTAACAAATTTTTGTCTTTGACTGTTTTTACCTCCCGCTAAAGTGCATTCAACATCGGGCCAAAGTTTTATCCAAGACTTTGAGAACGCTGAGATCGGATTTTCTGTCGATGCCTAAGCCACGATGTATACAACGTCCTTAATGTTGACGGTTTATAAAGATTCCAACAGATTCAAATTTTCGTTTTACAAAATGGATGAGACCATTTTCTTACTGTATTTTCTTTTCAAATATTCAGTGATCTCTTAATCCACTGGTTGCATAAAAAAAGCCACAGTAAAAACGGTAAAAATATCTATTTAATCTTCCACTTTTGAAACACGTTACAGTTCAGACGTGAAAAAGCATTACTACATAAAAGAACGGCATTCTGCGGAAAGGTTTTAGTTCTCAGGTGGTTTTTCACGACAAGAACAAATTGAGTCGAAAACCATTCTTGACATACAAACCTGTATTCATGCACAAGAGTTTCAGGGAAAGGGAGAAGGCCGGTAAGACATTATGATTAATATTTTTGAATGCCTTTAGCTTACCAAATTTATCGATGACAAAAAGGGACAACTTATGAGTTGACGATATTTGCTGGCAAAGTTTTTCGTTGGTAAATTTAAATTCAACCCTGCTTTTTCCATACCATAGCCCACCTTTAAGATAAATAACTTAAATTTGGTTATAAACTAACGAGCTGCAACTTCCTCGGTCGATAAAGTTTCTAATAAAATGCTTAATAAAAGAATTCCATGACGTCGTGTTATCCTATCATCGCTAGCAATGAGTAAATTTTGTTGCATGCACTGATTTTTTTTCGTGGAGCAGGAGCACCTTTTGTTTTAACAGCGGTTTACTCATTGGAGTTTTTCGACACCTTTCTTGCATGAACCATATCCACAATACATCATGCAAATTTTTGAATTACGATTTTCGTCTGAAACGACGCGAACGCAACACTTTAGTGTAACATCCTCTGTTATAACTTACTTAATATTTTCTCGAACTCTCAGGTCCTAGACAACGTTGATCTTAGATTCAATTCAGGAAAGAAATCCGCTCAAAAACTGCCCAATCATCAAACTGAAGGAAGACCAATATTCCAAAAATGACAAAATTTCTTTTCTTTCCTTTCCTTTTTAATCTAAGATACGCCTTTATCCCATTCATCAAACGCATCAAGTTTATCATTCGCAGCCAAAAAAGATATTTCGTTTCTGACTCATCATTCAATGAATTAATAACAAAAAAATTGACAAAAAATAGTGCCACACTACAACGTTCAATTAAATTCGCACAGTCAGGCTGATTAAAGAGTGAATGGTAATAACACGTTATCACGTCCAACAAATGAAAACAGAAATATTAACAGCACTCATGTACTCTACTGCTAACGTAGGCAAGCAACAATAGAAAAATACAGAGAAAAAAATCGAAGGGCAAGTGATTGCTATTCATCCAGCGGTGCCAATTAACAAAAGTATACTGTATTTTCTTTATTAAGGTTTTTTGTTTCACTGCCGAAAATTGAGAATATTCATTTTCCATGCAAGAAATAAGCCAATTGCACCTGCGGAGAGCTCAAATTGTCGAAAGAGGGCACCTGAAAGACAACGAGCAAATTTCTTCGAAATTCTCACCTATTCATAGAGATTCGAAGAAACTTCACACAGAGAACGACTCGATAGCTAAGGCGCAAAAAATGCTCAAAGCTCAAAGTCAGAGAGTTAAGTTATAGACACCTACTTCGGACAATGAACACACCATCCATGACCAGAAAGATCACTCTACCCAAAAGATTAGGCCTGTCATCAGCTGTCCCTCAGATTCTTCCCTACCGATCATTAATTGTCTACCAACACAAGAGGTTAGCTAATATGCATCCACAAAATAAGAAATGCAAAGCCCTGCTATATCTTAACGCCAAGAAAGCATATGGAATGGATCTAATTCCTAGAGATTAATGTTCTATTTCAACAATTCATCAACCTTGGAGAATGGATGTGTGGAAAAATTGCCCTCGTACTCAAAGGGCGAATGAGTTTCTCACAATTATCATGGTATCATACTACTGTTAACTCAGAAAACGTTGTGCAAAGCAATTAATGGGAGACTTCGCTAAAATACATCAGATTTTTGGACGGAATATCCTTACCCGAATCAAATTATCATTCTGCCTGGATAACTGAGCAGTACCGATGATTCCAGATGCCATGATAAGCCAGTATGCTCAACTTTTAGGCTCTGTTTGATTCATCACATCATCAAGCGATGTGCAAAATCTTGAAATGCTATGATATATTTGAACACATCTTTCCCATTTTGGAAGAAATGTATGCAGGAACCATTTCAACTGTCAAAGTCGAAGGAAAGCTATGTGATTGGTTCTCTATTAATTGGGAAGTTTGTCTTCGCCATACAATATTGCCCTCAATTTTCTCGCTCCGAAACAATGCTGACTTTGGCAGGCGAAGGTTTTAAGTTCTAGAGGGAAGCGCTCTTGCTCGGTAGATAAGATATGCGACTACATATTTTACTGGCCTACAGCATGTAGATGATAGTACGATGGTGAGCAGCAGTGAAAGCGGGTTCTGCCATCTGAACCCTTCAGTGAGGAACACAGCTGCGAAATAAGGCCTTATCCATAACGCAACGAAATCAAGAGGCAAATAAAACCAATCCATCACAGCTGACTTATACAGGGAACAGGAAGGTTAAACGGTTCAGGAATTGACCAGCTTAGCTATTTGGACTCCTTCACCACAAATTAGTCACGGCGTCATTTAGCCTGAGTAAAACAGGAAGTTCGGTTTAGCCTTGAGTGCTTTTGGCAATCTGTCTGATGCTCGAGAGAAAAGAAACTCTTCAACACTTCCGATGTACCTTGCCTCTGTCAAATCAGTTGCACGGAATGGAGACCGTGACTTTATCGAAGGACCAAGAACAACGGTTGAACTGCGCACAACTACGTTGGCTTCAACGCGTAATGAAGGACGGGGTAATAAGTGGCAGGGCAAGGCAAAGAACTACTGGGCAGATGCGATCTTAGTAGTTGCGGAGATTAAAAAATGAAGCCAGCCCTGCGACGCAAAATGGCAGGGCACAGATCAATTAGTCCTCCAGCGATGGAATTTTTCCCGTGGGAACCGAAATAGTAAACGACGATCAGGAAGTAAGAATGCAATATGGACGAATCAGGCAGAGGCAAATATGCCTTCGAAAAAGAATAGTTCCTTCGACAATGCAGCAATCGATGCTTCAAAACAAAAATGTTGAGAAACTGCAAAAAAAGAACGTCACAAACCAGAGACGTTCCGCTTATGCAAACGGCTCGAGGTAATGATTTCGATATAATGGTACAAACATTGTTACCAACAAAAGGGTTGACGGATGTGGTTACCGGGAACACGACGTTCCACTACAGCATGATCACAAATAACGCTGACATACACACGTCTTAAAATTTTATTTTAGGGCCTGAACACCATGCATATACTTCAATGAGATAGAGTTACCTGCGGTACTGCAAAAGAGCGAAAAAAAGTACACCTTGATTTTTAGAACATTTAAGTAGCATTCAAAGAGCTTTAGCACAGATGCGGGAATAAAAGGCAAATCTCTGTAAATGCCATACAGATCAAAACATTCCAAAGTGACCAGTTTAAATTTACGTTGAAAGCACATCAAATTTAAAAGTCACTATCGAAGTTCCACTGAAAATGTAGATAAAGTACAGTACTATGATTTGCAAGTTAGATCTCTGCAATGACGATATTGAAAGTTGAAGCCGTTAACTGCATAAAATCGTCAAAATACAGTTACGTTGAACATTAGTGAGGAAATTTTGCCTGAATATTTCGTTGCATGGCTCATCAATAATCAATATTTCAAGATTAAAAAATTACTGAAATATTGAATTGCATAACTCCGCCATTGCCGGTCCCAAGCCCGGATGAGAAAGGAGGAGGGTTGGAGACCGTGGC